CTTATGCTTAGATTTAGGATATTTGTTTAAAACTTGGTCACCCTACTTCCAATTCTTGCTGTGTCTGGCTTTCAAATGATGACACAGAATGTGAAGTATTTCTTGCTTCATTTCCATATCTGTCCTTCTTAAGGGGGAAAAAATCAAAATGTCTCCAAACAATGATGAAAACAATCTTAATTTTTTCATTCTCTAATTACACCTCTTCATATAGGAATTTCTGCCAGAGAGAGTTTGATTTCCTTCCACATGGGATAGCTGACCTTTACCATTTTATCATGTTTGGTTTTGACAGAGGAAGAGGAAATGCAATGCACCTTAAAAGTCATTAGATAGATGAGCGTAATGTGTAAAAATATCACTCAGTCGTTGTTAGATTGACATCAAGTCAGAATAGTGTCAGTATTAATGCCAATATAATGTTAATTGTCATGTTCTTGAAGATGTAAGGAATTCTATTTTCCCTCCTAGATCTGAACATAACTAGTCCTCAATAATTAAAGTGGCTTTTGCTGTTATTTAGGTAGATAAGTCGTCCTAAAGGAGTCATTAATATTCACTTCATTTCATATCGCACTTTACTTGTCAGCTGTGCAGCAGTCCCATGGGTAAAAATGCAGCCACTTAGATATTTTGGCCCATGTATTTAGCATATGATAAAAGCAAGCCACGGAGGGTATATGTAAATAATGGATTTACAAGCTGCACTGTTGCCAGGCACTTACAAATTGGCTGATAAATTTGATGTACTTAAAGTCTGAAGTGTGGCATTTAAAATGCGGCAAAGCTACAGGTCCCAGGGTGTTTCTTCTCGTTACAGCTGGGCAATCCTTCTTGTGCCCTTCCATCATTGCCTCAAAAGGCAGGCTCATCCCAGCAGCTTCCTGGCTCTGAACAACCAGTGGTATACTTAGTTTCATCCTCCTAATTACCCTCCCTTCTCCGTTACCTTCTGTAATTACAAGCCAGGCTGCACTTGTGCACTTACTTTATCATTGAATACAGACTTCAGACTCAGTTTGTATGAGGCTTATCAATGCCTCAGTTCCTAAATCAGTTTTACAGGCAGTGATTAACAAAACTCTCATATAACATGTCATGAAAGCATCAGGAAAAATTCTGACCTGAAGTTACTCTATTTATTTATACTTGAAGTTGGCTTAGATCAGGGAATATACCAACCCTTTATTTTCACCTTACTTTGGAATTTACTAATACCTAGAGAAAATATTACTGAAGGTTTTTTCCCCCAGCTTTTGATTGAGACAGAGGTTTAATTTTAAAGTATTTGCATATGATTAATTTTTTCCTCAATAAAATCAAGAGATGCTATAAAACTAAAGGAATGTAAAACCAAATGCCTGATAAATAATAGGAGTGTGGGGTTTTTCACAAGTCAGACTGCTTGTAATGAAGATACAATGATCAGTCTTAAAGAATCATAGGATTCTTTAGAGATAAAAGGGATCAACACCAAGGGCAGCATGCAGGTTTTGGTAAGCAGATATCTATAACTAACTATGCAAATGAAACACTGGACTTCAGTTCCCGGAAGCTTATTTTTCTAATCAATTCCACCATGTGCAAAAGGCTTCAGTGCCTCTTCTTGAGTTTCTGTAAAAGTACTTATGTCTGCTTTTTCTGTTCTATATGCAGTTTCTCAGCATGTTTTCTCATAGCTCATTAACTCTGCTTCAGCTGACAAAACCCTGGCTTCCTGCTGTGGGTCTGAATGGCAGGGTTGCTGAACTCTGCTCCCTCTTCATTCTGATGGGGCCGGAGGGATCCTGTGGGTGCTGTAGCACTGGCTCTCCTGTCAGTCAGGGATTTGTGCTGGATTGATCTCTGTCTCCAAAAAAATGTTCTCTTCCAGTTTGCATGTCATTGTTCAGGGGCTAGAATATGTCTTTGCAATACTCTTTTTCATGCAGTGTTCAGAGCAATTAACTAATAGACAATGAGAGAGGCATTTATTTTGGCTACTGTCAATAAAGAAGAGATATTTGTTGCTCTCTAGGGCCCTTTCTGTATGTTCTGCAATCAGTATATGCCCATATCAAGCTCCATATCCTAATATGGTGGCCATGAAGCTTATGACTGCTTAAAAAGAGTTAGATGTCTTTCTGTGTTGATTTGGAAGTCACAATACCTCAAAGGGTATGAAAATCTCTCAAGGAAATGAAAAAAATATTCTAGCTGCTGTCTATATAACCCCTCTGCAACTGGATTCTTGTAGAGGTACAGACACTGAAACCTATTGAACACAGCTTTGCACTGTTCTCATGTTTATGCTTTCCTTAGTGTTACCTAGCCTCTTTGTAAGTATTAGTGGCCATGCACTGTGCAAGGTTATACACTCTCTTGCTCCATAAAAGTGGGTTTTGACCCCATGGAAAATACACTGACAAATCAAAATGTGTAATCGGTTTAAAGTTCAAGGGTGCAGCCAAATCCCGAGCCAGTGTAATTTGACCTAGATTCACTGGAGCAAGTAGAGATGCAGTGAACTACATAGACAGAAGAACCAACCCACTGTGGTTGCCCTCATACAGTGAGGATGCTGAGGAGATACTTAATGCCTGATGATGGCAGCGGTTTGCTGCTTCAGCAAAATGAAGTTTCAAAAAAAGAAAGTTTCCTTAGGCTACTTCCTGCAAATAATAGTGATTGAACACCCAGGATGCTGAGGAAACTCTCAGTTGAGTTTAAGGGACACTGGCAACACACACCTGCTTATTTCTATGCCACTAGAGAAGGGAGTGCTTAATCAATGTTCCCACTATATGGGCCAAAAGTCTGTTTGTCATTCATTTACTGCTGATACCTTTGCTAGTATCCTCCCATGTCCCTGTGACCCCTTGCCCCCAAGCTCCAGGTCCATCTAGAAATCGATGTGCTGTGACTTTTAACCCTGCATTAGCATCATTGCAACACTTTTCATCAATAGGTCAGGTTTTTGTTTCAGGAGCTATTATTCCAAGGACACTCTTTCAAACTTTTAGAGCCAAAGCAACCTTCAGCCTTTATACCACTTCAAGGATTTTTCCAAATTGGCAATTCTTCTTCCAGAATGCCTTTATATATGGGAAATCTCAGCAACTCTTGAACTCCAAGGTTGCTGGACATACAGAAGAGCAAAATTTGGTAATAGAAACCCATGTGTAGCTCTGAATGGCAATTTCTGGATATTGCTTCCAGTCATCTCAAGAAAAATGCCAAGGTTAATTGAACAGCTCTAAGAACCAGGAAGAACAGGTTAAGGGTAGGTCTCAGCTATCATTTCCATTAGTACAAAAGTGCCAGTGCCTGTGCTACCAACTAATGTTTCCTTGATTGGTACTACTATAACTGACTTCATCTCAGTCTTGGAAGGAGTCAAAATGAAATATTTTAACTAGTTCAGGGTATTTTAACTTTCCAGTTGAATCAGTACTCCTGAGCACCTGGATATTAGCTGTACCAATTCCTGATAAATAATACACATTATCTTCTGCAACACCAGGTATCTTCGTAACCTTCTTCCTCTGTCATAAGGAAGACATTACCAATGGCTGGTACTAACTTAGGCTTTGTGCAGCTGTGGTAATTTAGTCATGGATTTTGTGTTTATGTTCCACCCTACTTGATAAGAAATAGTAATTCATAGTAATTCCCACATAGTGGGAAGTTATGGTGGGGGGCTTAGGCAGCATAAACTACTGTGCCATTTCAGGTCTTTTTCAATAGGGTCTTCTCATATCCATCATCCCAAGGCTGAGTTGATGGCAAATAGAATACATGGGAGGAACAGATTCACACTGACAGCAGGTGGATACATGACTGTTAGGAAGAGGACTGAAGTTAATTCATGGAATGACTATTTGAATATTTACGTCTGGATTGTTGGGGGGGGGGAGTGGGAGGGTCCAAACTGATTTTTATTCAAGGAAGGCAGAATTTAATATATATGATGCAAAGACTTTTTGGGGGGGAAAAGTATTTTTGTTGTTAAACCATATAAAAGAAAAACTAGGCTCTGTTGTCAATCATGTCTCAAGCTTCTGATACAATAAGCTTGGCCAAATTATTCATCTCCACGTGCCTTAGAATTTAAGGCTACAAAATATCTATATGATACTGTCCTACTATATAAGGTTAGCATTACATTCAACGCATTGCTGCTTAAAAACAGGATGAGCCCCTTTGGGCAAGTTACTATGACTGCAAAGACACAATGGGGAAATGGTCTTGCTCGCTAAATAGGTGACTAGTTGTTCCACTTTAACTCTTTTAAATGCTGAAGTGGAATCTAAAACTCCATTGTTCATTCATTACATGGAAAAAAAAATAAGTGGTCCACTACAGACTGCATGACTGATGCAAGAGCTTCTATTAAGATAACAAATTAACGGGAATAATCGGTTTATGTAACATGCTCAAACACACCTCAGGGTAGAGGAAAATGCACCTGCTAGAAACGGGGCAAGGCGAAGGGGGGGCCCGGGTGGATGGATGCTCAGGGGCTGCGCACCTCTTGCTCCCTCCCATTCCTCCCTCCACACACGACCACGTTCCTCCACGTGCCTGTCCCCGCACGCCGCCCGGTTGCCGGCGCTGTGCGGGTGCCCACGGGGCTCCCTCTCCCATCCTTCCTCCCTCCCTCCCTAACATCCCTCTGTCCCTCCTGCCTTCCCCATAGAGTCCCTTCACCGCCGCTCCACCCGACCCGAGTGGGGGTGGGGGGCATTTAAGGGCATCCCCCCTTATCCCCCCGAAAAATCACGCCGCAAATGCGGCGTGGGGATAGCAGCGAGGGAGGAGGGAGGGAGGGATGTCAGCGGGGCTGCGGGGGTTCTCTGCCGGCCGCGGCGGAGCGGGGGGCAGGGAGGCACGGCGAGCAGAGGCGGCTCGTTCGCAGCCAGCCCCGGCACGATGTGTGTGGGTCGGGGGGAGAGGCGGCGCAGGGTGCGATCACCCCCGGGGGCAGCGCAGGGCAGGGTCCCTGGGCGGGGGACACTCACCATGGCGGCGGAGCGGCGGCGAGGCGCTGTCCAGGGTATCGCCGGGCTCGGAGAGCTCTGCAGGCGCGGCCCCCGAGCCCCCGCTATAAGGCACCGCCTCCTCCCCGGCTCTGCCGAGCCCGCCCCCGCCGGTTGCCGGCGGACACGAGGCTGGGAGGGACGGGAGAGCAAAGAGGATGGATGGGGAGGTGGTGGGAAGCAAGCGCTGGGAGGGGGAATGCGTAGTTGAGGAGGGGAAGAGGCTGAGTGATGCTGTTCCACCAGCGACCCAGATGTCACAGTGGATAGTGAACGTTTGTGTTTGTTGGAATCTTCGCTGATGGGAAGATTCAATTCATTGACCAGCTACTTTGGGAGCAGAGAGGGGCACTGGCTGGCTGCTGTGGTCCTGACACAAACCTGTTTCATTCAAAGAGGCCCAGCACTCGTATTTGCATCTGAACTTCTCTGACCTGAAGCCCTGAATCCTGCACACACTGTGACAAAGTGAGATCCACCACCTAAGGATTAGGTGGTTGGACTCGATGATCTCAGAGGTCTTTCCCAATCTAAATGAATCTATGATTCTCCCTGTGGCATCTTCCTGGAGATCTGATCTGTCTATTAGGGAGGAATTGATAAGCAAATGTTTATTTATGTTGGCTAGGGAGGAGGCAAAAATCACACAGAACAGGAGCTACCAACCCTGTCACAACTCTGCCACTGATAACATAACAGAAAAAGTGTCAGGGAAGGAAAAGGCTTTGTGTGTGGTAGAAGAAGCACAAAATTTCACACCTTCAAAACTGATTTTTGTTCTAGGTGCTAACCAAGTCTTATAGTTCCAATAAAAGATTTATTTAAACTATCAAAGCTTACTGAAAATGTACTGCTTCTTTACCCCTGCTTTTAATGAAGAGGTCTTTGGCATATGAAATAAAAATATTATTTTTATTTTATTTTCTAAACGAAAACTTGTCAAAAAATGACATATTCATGCATGCACTTCCACTGTTGTCCCCTCAATTCTGTGCATAGTTTTGTTGACCAGAGCTCAGAGAACAGTCTTTCCCAGTTTCAGAGGCACGAGCAGTGAAAATAAGGGGACCATGTGTGGTGCAGGAAAGGTATCATCTTCACAAACTAAAGTGTACTTCATCTACAGACGTGCTATATTTGTCCAAAATGTAGCACTGATGTTCTGAACCTTGAAACTTCCTTCCTGGTAGTCTCTTTGTCCATGTACAACTTCACCCCTTGCTTTCTCTTGGACACAGAGATCCACCGAAGGCAGTGAGAAGGGCTATCTTCCCAGGGCTGCCTGCCTGCCCAGAAATGATACTGCCAGGAGATCCACATGAAAGCACGTCCTCACAGAATTTCTAACCCACCTTTACTTGTTTGCTCAAGCTTCCAAATTCCAGTGCATCCATCTACACTGAACTACCACAATTCTGAGGCTGACCAGCCATCCTTTACCCTATTTCATCTTTTTGACAGGTTATTCATTTAGTTCTTTGTGTGTTACTACAAACCATCCTGAAATACTGAGCAAAAATACTTTTTGATATTCATTCTGTCCCCAGGGAAATTGTTCCCTAGGCGGAAAATCATCCTCTTTGTCCAAGAAACTTCTCTTTATGCACTGTAGAGCAAGGAGCAGTTTGGATGCTGACTGACAGAGAAACATGGTAGTGATTTGGTGCATTGGAATGCTTCAGCCTCACAGTTTTTATTCCACTTTCTTTACAGTCCAAACAGGCTGGAGTTCATATGTCAAGCCAATAGCAGACCTAGTAATACAGTAATATATATTCTTTTTAAAGTCTTCTTTTTCTTTGTCTAAAACAGTAAGGAAACATATATTCAAGTTTGGTAAATATGTAACATTTCTAATTTCTTGAGTTCCTTGTTCCTGATACAGTATATTAATACTAATTAATGTAGTTTCCCCCTATAGTAGCAACTGTATTTTTTATAAAAACAGTAGTGTCACCAGCAAAGAACAAATAGTATTCTGGTGGCATCTAAAAGAAGCTGTAATAGCATTATGGGTATTTTTAACACCTACCTAATTACCTGAATTTGGAGATTTAAGGGCTGTGGCAGGATTTGGATTCATCTGTTTTGTATGGAGAGTGATGCCATGCATTTAGTTGGATCCCAGGCACTGAGAACAGCAGACCTCTGCCACGGATGTTAGTTTTTAGTGGTCATTGAACAGTGTGTTGGCATGAGGCAAAAGGCAGAAAAATAAGTTGACATGAGGACAAACAGACTTGATTAGTTCCAGCTGAAATTCCTTGGAAACCAGAAGAGTAAGTGGAGGCAAATAAAACAGAACTTCATTCTGGGGCAATTCTGTTACACAACAATCACTGTTCAAAGTGAAATACCACAGGGAGCTGGCTTGAGCCCTGCTTATCTGGGGGTTGTTGTAGGTTGAACCTTATCACAAACCACCTAATGTACAGAATCACAGACGGGCTGAGGTGGGAAGGGACCTCTAGAAATCATCTGGTCCAACACACCTGCTCAGGCAGGGCCCCCTACAGTCAGCTGTCCAAGGCTGTGTCCAGTCAGGCTTTGAATATCTCTATGTCTTAGGAAAAGCACCTTTGAATTGCAATGACTTCAGAGATGCCAGGTCCTACTGGGTTTGCAGCTCAGCAGGAAACAGGCAAACAAGGTACCACTGATCAGCCAATTACCAGCAACTCTCAGCTCCTGCTAAGTTTAAATCTACAGGATAAAGTTTTAGTTTGGGAAAGAAAAGTTAAGTCCAACATCTATTACCAGTCACTGCTCTTGATCACGAACTCCTCTGAAATTTGGAATTTAAATTCAGGACCTACCTATTTCAAAAAGTTGTTCTCTCAGAAGCATCTATTCAACTCATCTTTCTCTAACTAGCTCAGATGAAAGATGTTAACTTGCTTATATTATCCATTATTTTTCTAATTTTATTGGCACAGGACAGTGGTTATGTAACTGAAGATCTTGATTCTGCTAGTGGCACCATGGGGAGTGTTGAGATCAGTGGGACAGAATTTGATAGAATCATGGAATGGTTTGGATTGGAAGGGACCTTAACAATCACCTAGTTCTAACCCCTCTGCTATGGGCAGGAACACCACTTGACCAGATTCAGGGTCCAATCCCACTGGCCTTGAACACTTCCAGGGATGGGGCATTCACAATTTCTCTAGGCAACCTGTTCCAGTGCCTTACCACCCTCACAGTAAAGAATTTTTTCCATATATTTAACCTAAATTTCCCCTCTTTCAGTTAACATTTGTTAATTTTTTGTTAACTTTTTTTAACTCTCGAAGAGTGCTAAAAGATTGTGAATAACAAAACTGTGTGGAATCAAATTTAAGTAATCAGGCTAAAGTGAAAATTTGAGTTTATTCTCTTGTTTTTCTCTGGTATGGTTAGTTCTTCGCAAATTGGTTTTGAAACTATGTCTGGTGTAATATGTCTGTAAAACTAAAGTTCGTATTAATTTGTCAGCTGTGAGCACATAAATAAAAACTAAGAATAAACTTATGCTGGAGGAAGCATTGAATGGAGTGATTGTGGAGCTTTGTAGTTTTTATAACAAATATTTCACTTTAGCACCCTCTCTCGGACACAAACCAATACTGCTGGTGTTTATTTTTAAAGGCTTAGTTAAAGCTGGAAAGCAATTGCAATGTGTCCAGGAAAAGTCCCTGGCTGCAGTCACAGATACAGTTTAGTTGTGTGGCTTGGTATTCTATGAACTGACGTAAATAGAATTTTCCCATCCCTCTTATGCTTATCATCTTTATACAAATAGTCTGTGTTGTTCACTTAAGCCAGCCAAGAACTGGGAAAAGATTGAGGGCTCCAAAGCAAATACCAAAGGTGAGTTGTTACAAAAGACCACAGTTTGATGTGCTGTTCCTCGCAGTCTGCACGTCTCCTGTGAGGAGACTGCTGGAGTTAGCTGCTGTGAATTGTGGATGGACCTGAAGATTCTCTTCTTACATCAGTAGTACTTACTGTTAGGGTAGCATATGGAGGCCCCAGTTTGGGATCATGGCCTTGCTGTGTTGAGACCTACGCCAAAGAGTTCACAGTGTAATGATGCGTAATGGTGTAGCGTCGAGGGAAAAGGGTGGGAGGAAGCTGTTCTCTGTACTCCTGCCCCGGGAAAGAGAAGTGTATTAATGCCAAAAGAAGGTCAGCAGTGTGAAGGACACCGAGTATATTCTAAATAGCAGAAAGGCCCACAGTTTGCACTGTTCTGCATGAACTATCACTACCTGGTCAGCTTCTGGGGTACTGCTGATAGGCAGTCAAGCTCCAGTAGTTGGTATGGTTGCCAGTTACATTCAAAGATACTGTATGTGCCAAAAGAAGGATTAAAAAATTAGGACACTGTAGAACAAAAACTGCCCGGATTACTTTAACTTGCTCTCTTCGTGCATTTTCATTTTAATAAGCCTTATTTGCAATACTAGCCTTTGGCAAGACTCTTCAATGCATAGTGCTTATGACAATAAACAAAGAGGAGGCCATGAATGATGCAAGGGCCTGCAAAAGGACAAAAAATAATCTTGCTAAAGTGGTTGAAATTCCTTTTCTGGACTAAAATATACAACTTATATAAGACAATTCCCATGATATTTACATATCTTTTTTATACAGCTAGTCAATGATTTTATTCTTCCTTCTGCTGTCTGCCTCTAGGTAACCGAGTGTAGATTTGTTGAAGTGCTGAGAACTTACAGCAGTATTTGACATCAGAGAAAGTTGTGCTACAAATAGACTAAACACAAGGGAGACATGAGAATTTTCCCCATATGCCAGCTCAAAAAGAGGCCAGAAGGGGCAATTGAAAACCAGTTGATACTTCAAACGTATTTCAGCCTCAGTTCTCTCCCTGGTGAACGAGGGATAATAACATCCCTCCCCTTGTCTTGCTATGCAGACACAAACACTAGTTAACTGGCTGCTGTGAAGCAACTGGTTAGTCTAGATGCATCAGCTCTTGCACCCTGAAAATAAGGCCTGTGCCCTCAGCACCTGCACCCTTCTTCCCTGAGCTAAAGAGTCTTTAGCTCCCTTATTCACAGCACTGCAGGGCCTTGATTTGAGGTTATATGTCAAATCCTGCTGCTTTGAGCTCATCCGTGGTTGGGCAGAGGCCCTCTGAGTGCCTACTCACCAGTCTTGTGCTATAGTCCTTTTCCTGCTTGATGACCTGACCATCCTCTTTTCCCAACCCCCAAAACC